AATTGATACGCCTACGTCTGCTGGTATTGGTGAACGAGTCACTGTGGGGTCCACAAGTGCTTGCCGCACGATCCTTCGATCCTCTCTCCTCGTGGTCTTCCTGGTCGCTCCAGACACGGTTTTCCGCGCGGGGGTACCTTCTCGTGTCCACTGCTCCCAACAATTTCTAACGGCACACTCCGAACGATCCACCTGGCCAGCAACACGGCGCATCGACCAGCCTGCAGTTTTCATCTCGATGATCAGGCCTCTCTCAAACTCGCTTAACTGTGAGAAATGTCTTCTATCACGTTTACCTGGCATGTTTCGCTTACCAAAGTCTTCCTACAATCGGCGGGTAATCGTCACGTTTATGAATCTTCTAATTTGCGCTGGCACCCTCTTCCTGATTGTAGCCTCACCTCGGCGTGTATGAGCATGCGTATTGGCACAAAACTTGGATCATTTGCATATCACATTACGCTGTACTTATTTGCAAAGTTTCGCGATTGTACTTAGCTTCCTTCTTGGGTCGCTATTTTCAATGTTCCTGAGTTTATTTACAAGAGGCCCTTTTTAAAATTTCTAAAAGTTCCAAGACAATGCAAAATGATTTGCGGTAAATTAAAGAGTAAGCAGAACACACACACCCTAACATTAATAAAACAGTGACTTACCTTCCATTTAAATGTACGATCTTGATGATGATAAGAGTGCTTATATAGGAAAATGAAAACAAGTGTTTTTGCTACTACTTTAATGTTCTTAATGTAAAGGCTCATTTATTATTTTTATTTGTTGATGGGTATTGTGTGTGAGTAACAATTTTTTTTGAGTATTCAATTCAGTTCTTTGCAAAATTTCGGTTAAGGTTATTTAATTAAATCATTGGAAAGTTGCGAAATGAGTAATATTAACATTGAAATTTCTTTATTAAATCGATAACTAAGATAGCATTTGATAACTTTTGATGTAATATGCAGATGTGAAAAAATAATCATTCGCAATTTTTTTTTTAAATTATCAATTTGATCAAATTGAATGATAAATGCGAAGGTAATGTGAAAGAAAAGAAGAAAAAGAATTAACCTCAGGGAGGGGGGGGTAATTATCAATCTTACGTATGTTTTTTTTTCTTTAACACTTAATAAAAGTGGGTTTTCTCAGAATTTAAATTTCAACAGATGATTAGCATTTTTTACTTTCCTTTGAAAAAAAATATCATCTTCGAATATCTGGGCAATCACTAAGTAAAAAATTAAATAAAGCATTTTTTTATGAAAGAAGGTGAATATATATATATAATTAAGAAGTTTTGTAAAATAGTGAGCTACTATTTTCCCCCATTTTAAAAATATATACATTTAGGGTGACTCTTTTCAAGGAAATATTTTAATTTTAAAACAAAAGAATTCAATGTTTTGTGTGAAAAAGGATTTTACATATTAATTTAGAGATAAAAAAAGAGATTTTTTTAGGTTTATTTTCTTTCGAACTTTCATACGAAATTAAATATGCTTAGTCAGTATTGTTTTAACTCTGCAGTATACATCTTTTAAGTTTCCAATATCTATGTGTGATTCTTATTTTTAAAAACTATATATATATATATATATATATATATATATATATATATATATATATATATATATATATATATATATATATATATATATATATATATATATATATATATATATATATATATATATATATATATATGGAAATAGTTGGTTACTGAAGAGATTTGCTCTCGCCTCTTTAGATTACAGGAGTTAGATAAAGTTTGCTTCTTCCAATGGTTGCCTTCTCATGTTGACATAACAGTCAATCAAAATGTGGATAAACTGGCGAAAGAAGTTAGAAATCTTAATATTGACAACTTTGTCAACGTTACTTTATTAGATACAAATGCTGTTACAAATTTCAAATGGAGAGAGAGAAGTCAATTCCTGTAAAGCATCAAATCGGTTGTATAAGTGTGGAGACCGCCTTATAACAAAGACTATTGCTCGGCTAAGGTGAAGTTTGATAGGGATTGTAGAAGAACTTATAGGAATTGTGATAGTTTAGATACAGACCTAACACCTGCCATATTTGTGACTGTTCAGCTATTCTTGCTGTCCTACAAGAAATAGGGGTTGTCCTGTTTTCGTCAACAAACCTCTATGTGGATAATATTGAGCAGATTTCCATAACAGTCATCTGGGCCCATAGTACCGTCTGATCTGGTCCCGTCATAGATACGACAACATCATGATCAATAGTTGGTTAAAACTCTCAATTCTTTTTCATTTTATTTCGTATGTCTTTTAGGATTGAACTGTAAGTTATGGTGCATAAGAATTATACATTTTTTTCAAATGAAACATTAGTTCTGATGTAAGTTTAGTTATGTTTTGGGAAATGCTTATGGAAAAAGGTTTTATCTAAAATTACATTTTTTGTAATAGTATTTATTAATTTTCTTTCTTGTTTAGGAGAAGATTCAGTTCTATTTAAAATCAGTTTCAAATGATACCCTGAAAATTCTTCGGTTTCATTTTTAAGTAGCATGGATTTTTCTTGACACAAAACGGAGCAAAATGTATGTTTCTTTCAAGAAAAATTATTTTTTGCGCAATACACATGTTAGACTAAAAATATCAAGATTGATTATAAAGGTAACATTCATAAATTATGTGTAGTGGTATCTATCTAAGGACAGAAGCCGCGACGCTTGGTTCCTCAGCCGTGTAACATAACCACCAGACAAAAGTGATCACCTCTTTCTGAAGGCTGTTACTGACCTATGAAGGTACCTCTACATATGGCGGACGGATCTCACGATTCTGAACCACGTTCGACACGAAGAGTCACCTAAGCTGGCACTCAACTTTCGAAATTTTCACACCCCGTCAGTGTGAGTACTCTGAGCCTAGACGGATTAAGCGTACATCGGCACCTCTACACGTCTAATTTTTAGTGGTATTGGGCCTCGAAACCAAGACTTGACTCCGTTTCGTGAGTTTGAAATTTAATAAAAGAAATGTTGGGTTACGATCAGTAAGGTTCAACCAATCACATATATCTAGGTCCAGAAATATATACGTTTTAATTTAAAATTCGTTATAGAGAGCGTACTAATAAAATATACTGTGTCTCCTCAAGTATTTATATTTTAGCTTACAAGAATAAAAATTTAGTTGAAGTTTAGTTGATAGAGGAAACTTTAGTAAAACATTACTGATTTTGAGGGATTCGCTGGTTTTAAAATACAAGAAACTAATATTATATATAATATTAGAAATGAATATCACTCTCAAAGTTTTAAATCTTAGTAATTCAGTATGATATTTCTGATTTTCACGTCTATTTTTCAATTGATTTATTTGAGTAGCTCTAAAATCTGTAAAGAGTAAGATATTCACAAAGATAGAATCAAAATATAGTAAGTATCCTTTTATGTAACAAAAATATATTCACAATACATCTTGTTCTTGTATCACGACCAATATGGATCACTACTATTCATTCTTATGATCACAATAAATAAATAAAGTAAATAAGGACAAATATATATAATGGCAGGGTAAAAAGGTTGCCAGTTTATTACTTATCAACATCGCACTTTGAAACAAAATGGGGGCTTTTAGCGACGGACCTCATATATATATATATATATATATATATATATATATAATTTTGAACCCCACTAAAGTGACAAGGATCATACTTGAGCTGACACTCCATTTTTAAGCTTCCACACCCTCAGTGCTGGTTTATCCATTGGGTTTTTGGGGCGGGCTCTCAGAGGCCTGGGGTCTGGATAAGTTGGACTTAACTAGGCTTTTTGGTAATAAATTTTGATCCACCAGTTCCAAGGAGGCATGTAGATATGAGCCCAGGGCCCGAAATTAGCTTAAATCGGAACTGCACATCACGACAACGAGAAGACATGCGCATCGACATGCTTAAAGTGCATCAGCCTTTCTACACGGTAGGTCCTCAGTGGCTAGATAGAAACAACACCGACCACAAGTTCACGATCATGTCCACTCAACTGTGGATCAACTCAAGTGTGGCCACCAAAATAAAAGTACATTTGGTAGAGTAAACAAGTAAGATAAAAAAATTAAGTCAATTCCTGCTTAGGTAAACAAAATTTTTTTTTATTTTAGTTGCTTTTTATTAAAAAGTTACAATTAATATAAATATGTATATACATGTGAAGATCCCCTTGGATCTCACTTTGAGAACGAGAATGATTTTGAGTCAAAGAAGAACCAGTAGCCATTTTTATAAATAACTTTCTTTATTTGGTTATCTTTCCAAATAGAATCAAAGACTTTTAATAACAACTAAATGAAATTAGCTTTATGAGGTTTAAAAGGGACTTTCCTTTATATTAACTTAAATATTTAATGATTCAATTAATTAACAATTAGAATATCGATCACGCAGAGATTACCGCGATAAGAGATCCCAGAATTATATTCATAATGTTCCTATTGAACATTTAACTTTAATCTCACTCCTAATATAAAACTTTAATGAGACTTTAATTATAAATCAATATTTACCACACTGCAGCTCAGCTCTTCCTGAGATTTATCCACCTAGAAATCTTCAATAATAAATCTCTAACTTCACCATTATACCTTCCTGCTTCAATCTCTCTCTCTCCTACTGCTTTTTGCTTTACTATTCCGTTTGACTTAAATACTTTATCTAATCTGCATAATAAGGAATCCCTGTCCTCTTTTTGGAGCTGATTGGAAATAGGTCGGGGAATTAAATTTCCCTAAAAAGGACGTCTCAGAAGGTTAGTGATAAAGTTCCGTATAGATTTGTCACACACATATGACAGAATTACAATATTAAGTGACAAAATAGAAAGCAATTTTCCTTGCGATTTTCTTTCTTCCTATCTATATAGGGTGTTGGACTATTTTTTTGGTACTATTTATTCATTAACTAAATTTAATTATTCTAATAAAACAGTACCAGTAAAAAAGAAATCATGTTCTCAGAAATTAGGCCATCCCATGTGGGATTCAAACCCACAACCTTTAGATAAGAAATTCAATGCGCTATCCATAGCGCTAAAGGGACACAACAAACAATTTACCTTTCTATATATGTTGATGGACTATTATTTTTGTTTGTTACTATTTATTCATTTTTTAATTTAATGAATGAATTAATAATTATAAAAAAAACTGTATTAACATCAAGCGTCATCCAGTACAAGTTTTAAAAAATGTATTTAAACTTGAATGCATGAACAGAAAGTATGTTATTAACGATTGAAAATTTGAACAAGATGTATATATATATATATATGTCCATATTTTGTTCAAATATATACAGGGAGAGAATGATGTAATAATAGGGATTGAAAAAGATCCCAGAACACCATTACCATGCTTTCATATTATACTCAAATATTTTGCTTACATCAATGGGATTTTTTGTTTCATGTTCTGTTTTTATAATCCGTTTCGGTTAATATAATATTGGATAATATAAACACGACTTTTAGCCGGTTGGATTTTTAATCTATGAAATGGATCGTATTTCGGCCACAACTCGGAATGCGTGACTAAAACAGACTTCCACTCGAAGTAAACGGACTCATAGAAAAGTGAATCGAATGCAAGTTGCGTCTAAGGATTGTAGTGCGACAAAATGAAAACTTTCCAGCAGAAATGCGGCTTTCTTTGAGGTCCGACTCTTTAAAAATACGATGGCTTTTCTCATTTTTTTTTCATGTTGTTTTGCAGTTGGGCGAAACAAAAACACCTCTTGTGCCGTCGCGGGTGGTTTTTAAACGGGCGTGATGCAGCATAAAAATATACGCTTTCTAAGACAGGATCATCAGCTAGGGTCTTGGATTTAAAAAGAAGTAGAAAGGCTTTTGTAGAAGTTATTTTTCACTTTTCAATCTGTTCGATGAGCTCGTGTGTTTTCAATGTGCTAAGCATGTTGTTTTGCGCAGTCGGCTCTCTGCAGAATATTAACTACATAGAAGCCCCAAGAAAATGAAAACAGGAAACGGAAAAAAAATCTATATATTACCAGACCCTACGCATTATGAATTTTGTTTTCAGGAATTGTTGTGATACGTTTTTATTACAAAAAATTATCACTGATTCTCATTCAAATGTGTTTGACTCTCAATAAGAAGGTTGAGGCGTATATAAAGGATCCAAGAGAAAAAGTTCTGTATGTGATTCTATAGGTCCATGTGTGTATCATAACAGTCATAGAGAATCTGCTTTATCTTGGAAAAGACACGCCGCGAGATATATTCAGTAAAAAGTCGCCGTGTAAAAGTTTATTTAGTATAACTCTATAATGTATCTGAAGGTAAAAAGTACCGTTCGGTTCGTTAAAGACTTTTCCAATGGATACTTTTTGGTGTTATTACTTGGAAAATCAAACAAGAAAAAAAGGTTTTTTTTAAAAATTCGAGATGTAAAAAATACTTTAACACTACAAAGACTGAAACTTAGTCTACACCCATATTGCCCAAAAGCAGTCAAAATGACTGCATTGTGAAAGAATGATTAATGTGTTAAGAAATTTGTTTAAAAATTAATTTTTAATATTTTTAATATTATTTACAGTCATTTAACAAGGTAGTAAATATTAACAGTAAACAAAAATTTACTTCACTTGGAAAAAAATATATTCTAAATATTCTAAGAAATTGTTCATTATATATGTAATTTTTTTCTAACTGGAATTAAAAAGCAGTCAAAATGACTTCCTTTGGGCATTCTGGTGTTAAATAAAGATATTGCACCCCCAAGAGTTTGAAAGTGAAAAAAATTACTCAAGTAATTTACATATTATACGAAAAATAAAAGAAAAAGAAATATGCCAAAGTATTACAAACAATGAATTATAGCTTAAAAAACTAAAAAACACGGTTTAAAAGTTAATCGAACTAAAAAGTAAAAAAAATAATTCTTAATATAAAAATAAAATATGATTCACGAGAAAATTAATGCCATTGTGGTAAAAGTGTGGGATGCTCGATATGAATTGTTATAATTTTTCACTAGTTCCATTCTGAAATACAGAATTAGTGTAAAAATGTAGTAAAAGCACCCACGCGCTTTGTATTATTTATTGAAACACAAAATATTTTTTATGTAAAGGAATAACAAGTCAAAAAAAGTTAACATTTTATTCAGTCAGAGAGTTTGTAATAATTTCGAGAAAAAAAATTTAGAATATGTTCTCATTGCAGTTAAAAACATCTTAAATTTGAAAAACATTTCCATTTGGGTACTTCTTCCATTATTTCATACGATTTTATAATTTAATCCAGCAGAAGATTTACACATGCTTTGGTTCTATTTTTTGTATTAAAAAATTAGTTTAGTTAAAATTATTGGCTATAATTTTTACTATTTAATAAAAAAAGCGACACATTGAAAGTAGCAAGCGTCCATCAAATGCTGCGTTAGAGACAGCTATGGAGAGTGCTGTTCTACTCAACTACTGCTTCTCAAGGGAATCAGAGACCTTGCAGCGAAAAAAACATAGGTGTACAATGGTACAGCGAAAAATAAGTGATTATTTTCCACAATAAGACGTTTTGCGCCTATTTTGTTTTTTCGTCAAGCACGTTTGCCGCATGTGATGATTTTCATTATTTGTACAGTTTCATATACTGCATGGATCACATTCGGTTTATGGTTATCCGAACAATCGCGTTTTCGAACGGCGTCCGGTTCCAACTGATTCGGATAAACGACGTTCTACTGTATTATTATTTTTTTATTACTGAAACTCAAGCGAAATCAGTGTCACACAGTCTGTTAAAATTAGTAATTTGATTGAAGAAGTTGTCGATCTTGCCAGACAAATAAATTTAGAAGTGGATAGGGATGGCGTTCAAGAACACAATTCCCACAATCAGGACACACAAGAATTCCCACAATCAAGAGCAGACAATTGATGAGCCCATAGAAATGCACGAGCAAGAGCAATACATCAAATAAAATTTGAGTCTTTAGACCCAGTTAAATCAGAAGATCGAATGACGATTGGTAATTTGACGGAAGGCTTAAGTTTAATTGAAAACGGTCTACACACAGATTTTAGAAAATATGTACACTGTTTAGCTACTCGAGGGTTTCGGCGACGGACCTCGTCATTTTGAGCCACGGTCAAGTGAAGAGGATGACACCTGAGCTGGCATCCCCTCTCCTAACTACCACACCACACGAACGGGAGGACGTTTGAACTTTCAACAGATTTAACGTATATCGCTCCCTATAAAGAACAATTTCAATTCTAAAATTCTGCGAGCTGCATCTACCCGATGCTGGGCGTTGGAAAAAGAAATTCAGTCTCGAGCCAGTCAATTAAAATAACTAAGTTTATTCAGAACTAACGAGTGAGAGTGAGCACGTGATTGCTTCATCCTTTTTATATACAGAACATAATGACGTCACACAACCTCTTCACAGTTACAAAAACGTGGCGCCATGTAGCCACTCTCTCGTTCACACAAATCATTTTTATTCACAACACTCCCCTATATGGTGGGTCTTCAGCGGTACTAGGCTCGAATTCATGACTCACTGGCCATGAGTCCGTTACCTTGACCACTAGGCTACCACGGCCATCCGATGGAATTGGTAATTGGATTGAAGAAGTTATCGCGCGCGCGACTTGACTGGAAAATGAATTTAGAAGGGAATGGTGATGACATTCAAGAACTACTGGATTCCCTCAATCAAAGAGCTGACAATGCATAGAAATGTATAAGCAAGAGCAAGACATTGAAGAACTTTTAAAGACCCAATTCAATGAGAAAACCGAATGACGGAGGGGAATTGGACAGAAGGCTTCGGTTTAATTTTAAAAAAGGGCCACAAATTTCAGAAAATAAAGACTCTAAATTAAAGCATATTTTTTCAACAAAACAAGGAGTAAAAATTATTGGTATGCTACATTGAAATTTTGGAGGAGAAAAAAAAATTTTTTTGAGCCAGCAGACTATTTTTTAGATTTTATGAAACCTTCTATATCAAAGTAACTTTGGCTTGCGATTTTGTATTTGTGTTATCTAAGATTTTTTTAAACATTTTTTTTCTAAATTATTATTTTCTTTCGTCTTCAGTTCCAACTAAAAATAATTCACATGCTAAAAATATTCACATTAATATGGGAAATTATACCCCGACTTAGTGCTTATCACTCAGTCCCATATACTGTATAAGTTCGAGGAATTACTGTATTTTAAAAATGGGTTTGCTTCTATTCTTTGAACATAAGAAGCACAAAAAATAATTTTTAAAAAAATAAAATACTATGTATTTTTAATTTTTAGCAAAAATTTATATAAGTATTATCATTATTTTATTTCTTTGTAAAGAACGTAATCCAAAGGGAAAAATTTGAGAAAGTAAAGACGCATTCGAAATTCTTTTTAAAATTACAATTGACTGTTTTGTAGGTAAAATAAAAATTCAACTTTTTTATTTCCTATTTTCTAATTCTTCTTCTTTGTGCTGCTTTCTATCATGTGCTGATTGCAACTTTATTCATTACGAACTAAAGCAAACGCCTACTTGATTTAAATCGAATTTTCCAAATCGAATTACACCCTTTTCTGATCATCCTCTTAAAGATATAGTAAAGTCTTGTTTATTTTAAAAGAGCAACGATTTCTTTTTATGTTAAAACTTTCGTAAACATTCTTTTGTTGACAAACTCAACTAAATTTTGTCATTTTAAAAAATGATGATTCGTGTAAAAATTAAGTTAAATTAATATAAATTGAGCAGTTTTTAAAAAATTTTTATGCTCCTAAATATATTTTAATATCAAAAGGTGATTGGTATATGATTAAATTTAAGAGCTAATACACACAAAAAGATTAATGTTCAATTCTTTGACTGAAATCAAAATTTTATTTTCATCAGTTTCGGTTGCCCTTTTTTTTCTAAATAGTTTTTTCGTAAATATATCGATATATATATATATATATATATATATATATATATATATATATATATATATATATTATATTTAAATTCTCGTCATTTCCTCAGGCATGCTATTTTATTTAACATTTTTGCTTTTGTTAA